ATAAAGTCAAATAACGCAAGAAAAATGCACAAAAGAGGTGGAATCTTAGAGTCAAAAATTAGGGTGTGACAGGTGTCTTGTGTACATCCCAAAAATTTTGTTAACCAGCCGAGGTATAAGATCGAAAAAGTCTCTGAGGCCGAGTTGGAGGGACAGTGTAACACCCCCTTTCTATACCCCCAAAATAAACAGTTAAATCATTTAGGCACAGATTCAAAATTTCATCAGAGTACATTTGCAACGTGGCATAAAAGGGAAATATCACATTATCATAAAAATTCCAACACATACAACACCTGCTCAATCGGATATGCAACAACGGGGTAGCACCCACAAGAAATATTTAGAACAAGGTGGAAATATCCAAATATTCCATAATTCTTCAAAACATATGTTCACATATACAATTATCATACATCATGTTTACAAAACATATCATCAGTAGATACATACTCAGATGCATCACAAAAAGAACAAAATAATTCCTATCTACCCGGTGCTACATATCAGAGCCGACCGACCAAAAAGCGAAGAAGCCACGCTTCACAAAAATACCTCCAGCAATCTAATCTGCAATGCCTCATAGAGCATTAAAAGAAACAACAGAAGGGTGAGAAACGATATCATAATAACAATGCATACAAACATATATATACATAATATCCAATATACGTCTTTCGCATTCTCACCGCAACTCCCCTCGTCATACCGTACATCGCAATGTATTCTCATTATCTATTTACAAACAGAACACCATGCATATACAATATGCATCGACAATGTTTACATCAGTTCATAAACACACAAAACATACATATACATATATTCACACATACATGTGTCTTCAAGCATACCAATCATCAACAATTCATATAAACATTTACAATTATGCTTACTCACCATACACCATGCAAGATGTCATTATGCAACTCATAGAGACCGACACACGACTCTATGAAGATGCAAATGCGGTACCGACTCATTTCAGCAGGTTCAATTGAAGAACCCAATAACCATCGCTCACACCTCACATGGGCACACGAGGTTTTGCAGAATCTACGCGGAATCAAGATAACCATCGTAACATACGAGGTTCTGCAAATCCACCGAGGGATCAATAATTAACCATCGCTCACACCCCACAAGGGCACACGAGGTTCTGCAGATTCACCGAGGAATCAATAATTAACCATCGCTCACACCCCACAAGGGCACACGAGGTTCTGCAGATTCACCGAGGAATCAATCGACACAAGAATGCATACCATGATGCTTCACATGCAACATGACTCATGACACTCTTGAAATGCGCACATGTTTACAAACATACTCATGCATTCTACACATTCATCGCATATATTCATACAAACATCATAGATTTTTAATCAAGCTAAACAATGCACATAATTGCCCAAACGACCACAATTCATAATCTAGGATTCACGCCATACGGCTACCCGCAGCACATCAAAAACCAGCATATAAGCTATTAAATCAAAGAAGGGTTGATCGCCACCAAAACCCCAAGCCACGACAGCACCACGCAACAGGGAAAATTCATCCTGCTACGTTCGCTACACGCTCGCCTAGCGAGCTGCTAGCGAGCATTCGCTACCTCCTCGCCTAGCGAACTGCTAGCGAGCAAGAACAGAGACTACAAACCTCGTTCGCTACCTCGTTCGCCACAGTGAACCTCCAGCGAGCTCCTCGCTACTCCCTGCGCAGCCAGCGAGGGACATTAAAACCATTTTGTCCCAAGTCTGGGACCGTTCGCTGCGCACTCGCCTAGCGAACTGCCAGCGACCACTCGCGACCTGCTCGCCTAGCGAGCTGCTAGCGAGCGTCTGCGATTTCCACTTCTCCCCACTGTTCAGAATCCAAAACCACTGATAAAATCACCCGATGAACTCCAACTCATATCCAGTAGCCTTAGTCTAACATATATCGACTAATCTACGTCATCTAATCACGATTCTAACCGTTAGACAATGATTTCTATCGATTAAACCAAATTCAACCTAAAATGGAAAGTGTAGAAAAACTACCAACAATCCAAAACAATCCAACAAAATCATACATGATTATACACATTGATAGAATAATAAAGTTTCACACCCTTACCCGATCAATCGAAAGCTTTGGTGATGATTTCTTGAAGTTCTAGGTTTTCCTCTCCTTTTCTCTCCACTTTCTCTTCTCCTCTTTCTTTCTCTTGTTTTTCTCTCTATGTTACTATATTCTTTTCTTTTCCTCTCTCATCTCATATTTCTATTTCTTTCCTCTCAAATTCTTTCCACACACTAATTAATCAATTCTCACAAAAATATCCACTTAGCATAATCACTAATGCCCAAAATACCCTCCAACCTATTTTTACCCGAAACACTCAAAATCGATAAAAAGAGAAAATAGCATAATATGTACACATAACATATTAAACACATAAATCCTATATTTAAAATAATAATTCAATCAATTAAATTAAAAGGACTCAAAATAAAGGAAATCGGAATCGGGGCGTTACAGACAGCCGAGATGAGGAGACTAACAAGTCAAAATTTCATATTCCTACCTATAATCAGATTCCGAGTAAGGGCATCCAAATAAACAAGGCGAAGCCGACCTCATATGAACCGAGAACTATATCACTCATACAAAGTCGAGTCTGATGATAGGGCTCGAATGCCATGAGAATGGTCGCAATAGACGGTTATGGAATAATGCATTATGACTGAAGAGTTACAATTATTGAAAAGAAAGACACTACATATCAATTATAAGAGATGGCGAACATTCATTGAGGGATATTTATGAGGAATATGAAGAGTAAAACAAAGGGGAAGAAGGAGAAGTTGAGACTTATAAATAGGAGATAGTTTGGAAGGAAAAGGCATGCAATAACCTACAAAAACATACATAATAGAAACCTCAACCAATCATTTTAGACTCTCCTCGAGTTAAAACGAGAAAGTCAACCTTTTAGTGTTTTTAGCTAGAACATGAATGAATCATTATAGTCCTTAGAAAAGAGAAATCTTAATGTCGTACATGGGAATAAACTTTCAAGACGTTAACATAACAATGAATCTCCCTTAGGACTTGATTGAGCTCTTGGTTATTTTTGGAGAAGGAAATGAGACAAGGGCAATAGACGTCCAATTTTTAGTGGTCATATGCAAATCAATCTACAACTTCATTCTAAGGAAACCCACCAAAGTAGCCTTGACGAACATACCCTCTATTGTAAATCTAAAGATTAAATATCACAAGACCAATACCGAAGTGGTGACCATGTGTATAGACCTGGCAGAAGCCTGACGCTATTACAAAGCCTTACATATAAACCTTGACACCACCGCTGCATAGGGAGAGGGGAAGGTGAAGGAGTTAAGTTATTCTCAAGAGCACCCCTTAGACATCAACATATCAAACTTCAACACACGTCTATAGGAAGCTACTTTTTAGGATGAACATGGTCTAGAGATACCTCTCCCCATCAAGGCCATGATGAAGATTTGGAATTCAGTCTTAGATTGCGACTTCTTATCCATTCAATTGACGATAATCCAACACACACTGTGAAGCTTGGGGTAAATCTCCTCAACTCCATGAAAGACAGGCTCATTAAATGCCTTAAGGATAATGCATTACTGTTTTCATGCTCTCATAAGGAGATACTAGACATTGACCACCCCAATGTGATGTGCCATCAGCCAAACATTAACCCTTATGGAAAGTATGTCGTCCAGAGAAGACAATATCAATTACTAGAGAAAACTAAAGCTACCAAGAGCATCGTGAATGTGCTCCTACAAGCAAATTTAATCTCATAACTAAATTACAGAAAATGGTTATCCAATGTGGTATTAGTGAAGAAGGATAGTGACAAGTGGCGCATGTGTGTTAATAATCTCAATAAATTCTGGCCCTATGATTATTGCCATATCCCTAACATTGATAAGCTGGTGAACAATTCATCCAGATTCTCTAATCTTTTATAGGCACCTATTTCAGGTACAACCAATTCTCAATGCATGAGAAGAAGTGAAGCAAGACAACTATTATGAAGGAGTATGCCGGTCACTTTTGTACATATGTACCATCATCTATGTGCCCCATATACACACATGTTCTTCCTTCCATCAGAATTGTTGGTATGCATCCAACGGTCATCCGCGCTCTCCGTGGACATATCAAGGAGGGTTGTAACCACATCTCTTATATTAGTGCGACGCTTAATCACACACATATACTTAGACTCATACTTAAAAGTTTCCCTCATTCACATCTTAATTTGAGGTCATAATGTTATCCATTTGGAAAGAACCTAATCCAATCATCGGAAACTTGTCACCCGTATAACAAAAAACGTTTTCGCAATAATCATCGTCGACCTTTCATTAAGTGTCAGTTTTATTATGGAAAAATGGCACACTATGAAAATCTATCTAACTTCTATTTTATATAACTGCATGTAATTTTAAAGTTTTCATATTATTGATTGCAATTCAAATCAAAGTTACAAACTTAACCCCAACTACCTAGCATGCTTGAAAATGATCAACCGTTATTAGAAAATTTCACACAAATATCTACATCAAACTTTGAATTAGTAGCACTCGTTTTAGTTAATGCATTCTTAGAAGAGTCCAAGTCGATTTTAATTAAAACATAAACATTGGTTTCTTATGGCGGTTGAGTTGTTGAAAGAAAAAGTAATCATTCTAACTGGTTGTTTAACCAAACATAACACAGCACATTCACACAGCGCACAAACGTATAAAAACATCTAACGGCACAATTCATTCATACGATACATTGTCGGTAAAAGCATCAATCACCAGCTTTCAAACGTTTTATGTCGGTCCCACACACTTCTCCAAATAATTTTTCTTCAATAAATACTCCCACACACCCTCTCAATTCTCAAATAACATCACCAATTCAACATACACAGCTTCTATTTTCAACTTCAACTTTCTTTATTCTATAGTTTACTAATGGCACCATCAGCCACTACAATGAAGTTTCTTTCTTTCTTTTTCATCGTCGTGTTCGCCGCCGCAGCCTCAGCACAAGACCTCAGTCCCTCGTTGGCTCCAGCACCAGGTCCTGATGCTGGATCTGCCGGATCTATTACAAATTCAGTTGTTATGATTGGAGCTTCAATTGTTCTGTCAATGCTCGCCACCTTCAAGCACTAAGAACAGATTCCAATTATTTCCTTCTTGTTTTACTTCGTGGTGATGATTTATCTTCTCTATATTGCTTGGTGATGTTTATTACTAGTTGATCTATGTACAATAATTGATAGTGAGAGAGGTTTTACATTATTTATTTTCAGATTTCATTATTTGTTGTAGATATTAAGGAAAATAAAGAGGGCTTCCATTATCTTTTGGTGATTAATTATTTTTGTTATACTTGTATTTATTTGCTTATTTCTTTTTTTTTGTTTTTTTTTTTAATATTTCTTTTTATAAAATAATATATTTCTCAAAATAGAGAAAATAAACCAAAATATGAGATAAAAACTAAATTCAAATAACTACTGAATTATATAGAATTATGATGACACTTTTTTTAGGACAAAATATTCTATCATATATAAATAATTCTACTGTGAAAGAAATAAATTATATAGAATTATTGAAATTACTTAGTGTGAAAGTGGTTAGAATTATTGAAAGTGGTTAGAATTATTGAAATTACTTAGTGTGAAAGTGGTTATTTTTTTATTGCATACTAGAAAGACTCTGAAAGATACTTTGTCATGCTTATTAGTCTATGCAATGGATCGGGTTTAGGCTCTAGGGTCTCAATCTTGTGAAAGAAGATTGAAGTTAAACAATTACCTTTTATATTTTCACAACTCAAAATAACTTTTTCACATATTTTATTTATTTAAATTTGGATGAACGAGTAAACCCATCAATTTCAATTGCTACATCATAAAAACAACCAAAACACAAAAAATTATTTTAAGAACATAAATAGCAACAACACATAACACATATTTTTAAAATCAAACAATTAAATAGAAAGTTCTTAAATCAAACTTATATTTACCTCAATCACATCCCGAACCATACTACTATGCATATCTTGGATCATACTCTTTGGTCACCCTTACCTGCACCTCCTCGGTCACCCTCTCCCGGACCTCCTCAGTCACCCTTTTCTCCACCTCCTTGGACACCCTCTCATGTGCCTCATTGGTTACCCTCTTCTACATCTTCTGGTTCATACTAGGGATGTAAATGGATATCCATAGGGACGTATACTATAATATACGTATCTGCTCCATTGGATAAACATGATATCCATATTCGCCCAATATCCATGTGAATATCCGGTAAGTGGGTAGTCTGTGAGTTTTACGATATCTGCGGATATTTACATATATCCATGTGTCGCTTCTGCGAAAATAAGGTGCCGGCAGAACAGAAGAGTCGCCACCTTTCGTTATTTATCTCTCGGAACGGGAAAGGAAACGATCGGAAAAACCTGACGAAAAAGGGTATAAGACAAGGTCGTCGCAACCGTTGTCTGGGTTCGGGAGTCGGTTACGCAAGGGGAAGATATTAGCACCCCTCACGTCCGTCGTACTCGACGGGATCTACGCTTGTTGTGTTTACTGGACGAGTTGGTTTATCTATCTACCTATCAAGGCTGGCTTAAACAGAAAAGAAAATGACTCGGCAAAGCGTCGCGCTTTATGCCTACGTATTCTCATCAGAGAATGAGAAATCAGAGTCAACGTAGTTCGACCTACGACGGGTTATGGGGAAGGTGGCTCGCCAATACATCAGTATTGTGCCTACGTACTCTCAACAGGTATGAGAGATCAGAGCTTACATAGTTCAGATAATACGGATTACGGGAATTCAGATTCATCTGTTTTATCGAGTAGGGTTAAACAGCAGTTCCAGCAGTTAGGGACAAAGCCTGTTTGCGTTGGCGCTGAAGTTTAACGACACTCTTTTCTTCAGAAAAGCTTTCCTTGGAATTACGGGCCCACGGGGCAAAGAGGTTTGAAGTTTGTTTTCTGTCTTTTACGAAAGAACTGTTTTTTATTGTGTTTGCAATTTCAATCGCACTAAAGACTATGACCTGAGAGTGAATGCGTCGCATGTCACCCAAAGGGTGCCATACTAAACATCCAGACTGTTGAAAAGAAGGTCTCCAACAATCCTTTCTCAGATAGCTTAAGGCTCGTAACGTACGAAAGAAATCATTCATGATTACTGTATCTTAAGCTGTTTTGAGATGAGAAGAGAACATGCTCAACTAATGGGAGAATATCAAGTCCTACTGTTGTCATGGCAAGGATTCATCCTATAGTTGAGGTTTGAAACAGGGAACTCCTAGAAGTTATCATGCATAGGTTTCAACCTAAAGTTCTATCATTATTTCCTTATCAAAGGAGGTGAGAGTCCTAAGGGTTCATATCAATGATAAACAGAAACAGATAAAGCATCAGGCTAAACAGTAAACAGGTATACAGTAAACAGTAAATGACTGTAAAATGCATGCAATGCAAGTGAGGGAGGAAATGTGTGTGGGGCAGCAGCCTCCACAAGCTCATCTCAACCTCAAGCCAGATATGAATAACAGCAATCATACAGAGGAAATAAAATGCTATCAAGCAAAATAGAATAACAACTGCAATCATACAGAAGGAATAAAACGAAATGCCATCAGGAAAACACATACCACATAGGCAAGGGAGCTGGGCTCTACCGAATACCCGCAAGCAAAGCCATACAGTAACAATACAAGCAGAGGGAGCAACTCAACCTCTAGTGCAATCATGCTCCTACATTAAAGTCAGTCTAGATATGAACTTATTCTAATGCATCAAGCAAGTCAAACAAGGCACATCAGCATAGAAAAGAACACAGACAAGAAAGCAGATCAACAACCCCCTCTTTCAATTCCAAGCTTCAGTTCTCCTAACATCAACCCAGTCTTCAGACTTCAACCACCCTTCAAGGCTATCAGCTTCACCAATAAGCATCAACTTGCTCCTCCAAGATTTCAATCCACCAAACATAAGTGTCAACTTATTCTCTCTTCTCCAAGCTTCAGCTCCTCAGTCAATTCCACCTTCAGGCTTCACTCTTAACTACAAATATCAACTTGATTCCTTCAGGCTCTCCAAGCATCAATGCAAGTGTCAACTTACCCTTTATCAACTCAGTCTTCAAGCTTCAACTCTCTTTGCTTTACCAGTATCAACTGGGTCTTCTCCTCCTATAAGCTTCAGCTTCTCAGAGTAATCTTTAATCACATGGATGTGTCAACCTCCTCCTTCAATTCTTTTTCAAGCAAGGAACTCCTCACTCTATATCCATTGGATCTTCAAGTATCAACTTGCTCTTCACTCTTCAAGCTTCAGCTGCAATGGCCATGCTCAAGGAATCATCCTCTTCCACACTCTTCAATGAAGTCCTCACCTTCAAACTCAAGTCCAACATCTTTCAAGATACTCAAACCAGAAGACAATTGATTTAACAGAGTGAGAGGAAATGATAAACAGCTTACTGACAACCAAAGGAAGCCTGTAAGGGTTCATCATTATGAGAGACTGGTTCCTTCAAAGTTCTACTCCCCAAATAAAGCCACTCATCCTTCCAAAGGAGGGATGTGAATATCTGAGAAGGACTTTTAGTCATTGGGAGGAATGGAAGCACAAGATGCTTTCCATATTTGTGAAAGAAATCATTCTAACTATAAGGCTCTCCCTATGTCTCCTATCTCTTAACCTTCATCAGACACCTTCAGGCACAAACAAATCCAAAGCTCTAAGCAACTTCAAGCAACCTCAAGCATCCTCACCTTGTCTTCAACTTGTCTTCAATCTCAACCAAAGGAAAACCAAGCACAAACCCTAATTTAAGGGGACTAAGGAAGTTAAACTAGTTGAATTAGTAAGTTAGGATCACCTAAAACCTAGTACTAAAGTTAGTCCTAACTAAAATAATAAAACCAATTGTAAAATCCTACAAAAATTACTATGGGAACCTAGGTCAATCATGACTCTACCACATTAATTTCAAAGATCAAATCATCAAATTAGACCTAGCAATAAATCCTACATTACAAGGTATCAAACCTAAACCCTAAAAGGCAGCACCTAAATATCAATCTAGAAAGCACACCTATTTTCATCACAAAAATGTGAGAAAAATACTATGGGAGCATACATGTCTAACCTAATCACACACAAAAAATTAGGATCAAAATCATCACCACATAATCACACTAAATTCCACAAAATTATGCATCAAACATAACCATTTTAATATCAATTAAAATGTAAAATTCCCATTAAATCATAAATTACATGAAATGAAAATATTTTTTCTCTAAAAAATACTAGACTCAATCATGAGTAAGATGCAAAAAGAATGGGTTTAATTGGATTAATTTTCAATTTATTATGAATTTTACAAGAATCATGAATAAAATGAAAATTAAAAGAAAATCAAATTAAAATAATAACATGCGCGGTGTGGATAGCAACAAAACATAGTTCAAATCATGGGTTGGGCCATCAGGGGGTGTGGATATCAGATACTTCACTAAGCCCAAAACCACTGATTAAATGAAACGGTGCGTTTCATTCATTCAGATCCTTCACAAAATGAGATTAAAAAGTGGCCATTGGATCAAGCTTCTAGTCAAAGTCCAACCATCATCCAATGGTGCCAGAGTCATCTTCAACCTTTTCAAACCTCTGCAACTCGCGCCCAGCTCCGGCCACCACCGGTGGTGCTCCGGTCACCATCCTCAACCCTAATTCTCTCTACAGGCCTCCATTGCAAATGGTCAAAACATGAATCTTGTCCCAAATCTTATCACGAGTTCAACCATACCCTTAATTCAACCTAAATCCTCAAGATTCACCATATCCAAATCTCAACCGAAAATGGTAATTCACCTATTTTGTCACTAATTCTCAAATTAACTATCTGAAATCCATCCTACACCATTCTACAATGAATCTAACACCTTAATTCAACTTAATTCTACCTAAATCATGCTAGAGGAAGACAGTTACCAACCTGAAAATCTTGGATGAACAGATGCACTAAACCTCCAAATCAAGCTCTCCAATCTTGCAGACACGATCAATGAACCCCCTCCTTGCTTCTGTATGCAAAAGAACCGGTTGAAAGTGCTTGAATCTTGAAACCCG